TAGGAGAGAAATAATGCCTAATACCCAGCATGGGGGCTTTTTAATGGTAATACAAATATTATGCAGCATTTCCCTCCCCAAGTCAAGCTGTGCTTGCCTTGAATGCAATCTTACTACAAACGCACACAAACACGCACGTCCTGGGTGCACAGGCCCTTGTTACAGTGAGGACAAAGTAGAACTGTCTTCACACACAGATAATATAGACATTAATCCGACGATTGAAGAAATGGGATTTTGTACTGTGCAAATTCCGGTTCAAAGGAGGCATCCTTCTCAGTGTAGATGTCTTTGTTATCAGCCCATGTTTAGCTAACAACTGGTTTATTAAAAATGGCACGGCTATGAATGGCTTATGTACATATTCCTGGGCTTGGAACGATCCAGAATTATAGCTTATGGCACTGGGGAAGCTTATGTACAGTGCACCGAGAAGCACCCAAGACGGACTTTTGCAATTGACAACACCTTTTCAGTCTGCCTAAGTTACTAGGCTTTATTTTTGTCCCGTATGATGGGTAAGTATTATCACGGAAGGCTGTATTCCTTCGTAACGGGAAAACGGTGGAAGCGTTTAGACCCCAGATGTGATGCGTCGTCCTGTGGTGCTACCTCAGGTGTGCTGCCAGCTTCCCTGTGGCTGCGCACTGGAAGGCCAGGTGGCACGCAGCTTTGAGCCCAGCAAATTTCCCTGTCAAAATGTGTCTTACAGAGTCATGCCACAGGAGCGAGCAAACTGACTATTTTAAAGGATCCGGGAGAGAAATAGCTCCGCCTTTTGCAGGCCACTTTTTGCCTTCAGAAAGGTCAAGCAGGGATATATGTCAGACGATTTTCTCCACGTATCTAGTTTTGTTAAGAAAACAATTTGGAAGAGGCTAATTGAATTCTAGCTGCATACGGCTTGAAGACTAGAAAGGCCTCCGGAGGGGGCCAGCTAGCTGGGGCACAGAAGCATATTGTCCACAGTCCCTTTGCTCATGAACGTTTCCTTACACAGGTGCAGGGTCAGCAAAACAGTAAGGCAGGGAGTTCTGCTACACCATATTGATGCCTCCAGGGGATTTCCAGAGAAAATATCAACTAGGGCTTCTGACTTCATTCTGGTAGTTAAACACAGAATAATCACCTGGCTTCCAGATCATGGATATCAGTTATCCTGGCATTATCACCACTTTGGCCTCTACAGCATAACATCTTAATAAAATGGAGAGTTGGTGGTACTTTTTTTCTTCTTTGTTTAAAGGAGTATTTCCACTTCCATGAAACAGCAGCAAAATGCTAAAGTCCAGCCTGAATCCAATCCCTTCTTGTATTTAACTACCAGCTCTTTGGTTTTTAAGCCATTTTAAAGTGAGAGTAATTCTCATACGAGGTGTTTGGAAACATGGTAAAGGGTTTTTTTTCCAGTAAGGAGCCAAAAAGGCACTTCAAATGCCTTTGGCAGGCCAGACAGTAAAACATACCTTAATGTTACTCAATTATAACAAGAAAAAAAAGCATGGCGCTAGAGCATCTAAAGTGGCATTATTTGGCCTATGAGCTGTCTGTGCCCTTTGTCTGGTAGACAGACAGAGTGTGCCAGGGACAAAAGCTCTGTATTTTGGGCCTTGATTTAAGTCCAGATTTGTCACAGACACTAAATTCATTTTAACTTCCAGCCACAGGAACAAAACGCTCATTAGAAACAGTGTGCTTTAATTTGAAAATGCTTCTTCCTGTTACGCTTCAGAGTTTTTCCTTCTACTTACAGATCATTCTTATCATACTCTGTAAAGGTGATTTTCCAGCAAAGTTTTATTTTCTTTGACATGAAGCCTGACTCCATCCTTAGCTCTGAAAATTATGTCCTAGGAATAATGACACCTCATATTTCATCTGTTCTGGAAGACCACAGCATCTGCACCAAGCGAATCACCACATGATATACAGTAGATCCTTGCTGCTCTAAGTCAGAGCTCATAGTTACAGCTGCAGTCAAATTGATAACGTTCTGTAATCACTGTCACTAGTTTTTTTACAGAAACATGCCGACATTTTCCTACTATTCCTTGTTCTTGGCAAGATATTGCTGTTAGAATATCCAGTAGGAATTAACCCAGCTGCAAGATTTCATTCATTAGCCTTACAGCTAGGTGCTCTATTTCTTTTTGTGGATTTGGTGATAACTTAATCTCTCCCTGCTTGTCAGCTCTTGACTGTAAAATCCTTCAATCCATGCTCCTGGAGATTTCACTCATCCCAAGAACAGTGCCACCGTTTTAATCATTTCAAACCCCTTTTGCACATCTACTGTGATTAAAATAGTGGCTGAGAGAGCACCCTAAAGAATGAGTGTAGAGGACGTATCTACAGTCATCCTTTCTTAATTTTATTACTCTAGCCCAGGCTGCTTCTCTCTTTTCAGGAAGGGGGTAATATTGCATTAACTTATATATTCCTGCTTCTTAATCAAGTCACTGGAAATTCCTTAAGGAATGTAAAGAAAATAATAATTTCTGTTTCACTTCTACATGGAAACCAAACTTAAATCCAGTAATGTTATTGGTCTTGAAAGAGGTGCTACCTGAGCTGATGATGATCGTGATCTTTTTTGTTCTTTAAGCTGAGATACATACCCCACAGTCTTCTTCTGATCAACATGCCAGATGCCATATCCCAAAATACTCTTTGTCAGACCTTTGCATTTAAATTTACCAGGGCCAATAAAGAAAAGAATACAGGCTTTCATTATCGGGGAGATGGCTTATACTGAGACCTATATCTGGAGAATATTCTCCAGGTACAGATTCTTCGTGTCCTAAATGGGAGGAGGTTCAGCTATATGAGCACCTCTCTCGTGTCTCCTCCCGGTCTTTCGTTGGTCGGCAGATCAGGACCACTGTGTCACAGAGCACAGCATAAGACTTGTGTGAGGGCTATGCATAATATAAGGTGAGTGAGAATGATGAGGCATTAGACGGTGTCGGTATATTGCCTTTCACTGCGCTCTAGCCAGTCCTGAAAATCCAAAGCTTAGACTTAAAACTCAACAGCAAAGGAGAATTGCAGAAATGACCTTTTGATTATGAAGCTTTAAAGGCTATAAAGTTAAAGATTTATTCCCCTGGTAAAGTAACCAATACTTGGTTTTCCCTGTTTTAGACAGGGCTGCAGGCATCCTTGCTCTAGTTTCATCCTGCTATAAACTAGGCCAGAGAAATAACTTCTGGAGGGTTAATTTGCCTTGAAGTTGTAAAATCACTGAATCACAGAATGATATAAGTTGGAAGGGGCCTCTGGAGGTTATGCTATAAAAATTTAAATACCATGATACCTTGCAGGGAGACCAGGACCAACGGTTTCAGAACATCACAGTACTTGATTGATCTGGCTATCTGTTGGTCTGTCTGTCTATGTTGCCTTTCACATATAAGTCATTCATTCATGGATACTGAGCTGGAACACTAACTAGGAGAACAACTCCAATTATATGCTGAGAAGAGGATTTTTTTGTTGTTTGTTATGATTATCATTTAGTCAAACTCACTTGCTCAGAGCAGGGTCAGCTTATAACAGGTCCACATGAGTTTTGAATATCTTCAGGGATAAAGATTTCACAACCTCTCTAGGAGAATGTATCCTGGAAACAAGAATTTCCCTGGCTCCACCTTCTCTCTTCCCTCCTACTGGGTAGCTGAAGGTCTCTTTTTTCTTTCTTTCTTTTTTCTGCTAGATTTTTCTCCTAGGAAGAGATTTAATTCCTTCCCTGACTGTCTTAGTCCCCAGTTCTAAAATTCATTTTCTTAAGCCCTTAGCTGTGGCCGTGTAGAAGCACATGGAGTTCAGTGCATCTTTGGGTCCAAATTCAGTCCCAGAACCTTACTGTGATGTGTATAGAGTATTCTTGCATTACATTTTTGCACTTTACTTTTTGCAGTTCTCATTCACCCCTTGTAAAATAACCTGGCAGCTTTTAAATCTTAGAGAGACCACCACAGCAAAGAACTAGAACAACAGTGGTCTCGTTCTCTTTCCCACTTCCTAGAAAAACTAAACATACTGCATGAAGTCCAATAGGAAAGCTGATGCAGGGACTCTGACATGGAATTTAATGGTGTAGTTGTTACCACTTCTGAACTGAAGTCTGAACTGCAGCTTTTTATAAACCCCAGAAGGACCGTAGTCATTTGGGGTTGGAATGATTTTGATTGACTGTGCTTGTCCAGCTTGAATATGATGCCTAAGCTTCAGTCACTTAGGGTCCTTTCTAATTCATGGGCTTACCCTTGGAGGGAGTGAGTCATCCTGTGGGTTGCCTTTCTTTTTCCATTGATTACATAGTAAATAACCTGAGATGAGATTTGCCATTTTTAGGCAGCTAACTTTAGAAAGGATGAATCACACATCGCTAGTGTGGTGGGTTCCTCCTGTCACGAGTCCTGTAGAGTTGAATTCCTGCATCCATCTGTAACTTCGCCGGCTGTTATGAGGTTTCCTGGCTGGCCCAATTGCAAAACTCAAGGGGGTGAGGGAAGTAATGTATGTTAACACACTACTGTCTTTGCTATCCTGATAAAGGACATCTCTGGAAGCGCTAGCAGTTAAAAATTTTGCATTATCCATACTGGACTAAATACAAGTGCATTCTTATAGCATGGAAAGGAACAAGAGCAGTACTTCACACCCAGAGTCCTCTATCTAAATACAAAATGCTTCTGCTATCTAGATTTTATTTATGATTTACTCTATCGCTATAAAATCTTCCAGCAGTTTATAAATTACACTGAAGTAAATTACACTGTGTGCACTCTAACCTAGACATTGTGATTTCCAGAGAGATGGGAAATGATTACTGAAAACAGAGCTAAACAGAAGAGGAGAACAAGTTCCACAAATAAGGAAAGGAGCAGGAATTAGCATACATCTTCCTAACATTAACTATGATAAATCACAAAGAAGTGGCATGCTTCTGTTTTGCTTTCATAAGACTGTCTTCACCAGCAGGGAGGTAACAGTAGTGTTTTTAAAAGCAGCTGAGAAATTCCACAAGACTTTATTTTTGAGAGATCCCCACACAGAAAATTCAACTGAGTATAAGCAGCAGCAAAACAGATATACAGTGTCTGGGATCCATAGCGGTACAGATTTCTTAGACTCGCTGTAAATGGAGAAAAGAAATTTTCACTGTAGATTTCTATTCTACCTAATTTTCCATGTGAGGTACATTTTCATACTCTGCCTCTACGTTTGTTACGTATCTGTTGCAAACAGAAGCCACCCACACACATTCCCCCCTCCCCCAAAATCAGCCCTCCCCACCAACCATTAGGTGGGAGCTGCAGTCTACCAACAATTCTCTAGGGAGTTTTCTTTAATAGAGAGACCTCCAAGGTCATTTGTAACATATCTGCAGCACGTATGCGTTCTTGGAGAATCTGTGCATAATCAGGCCAGTAGGAACATCAGGAAACCGCAAATACCGTGCAGCATCTCCATAACAATATCTAGGACTAAAATATGTGGTGATGTTTGCTAATATAATTCTGTAGCTGGAGAACCACAGGGGCACAGGACCGACGGTGAATCCGAGATAACTGAAAGTAAAAAAAAAAAAAAAATGTATCAAACATGAGCAGTTTAAGCCTAGTACGTGCAAGGGATACAAGGCTGAAATGGTTATGTTCAATAACATTCAGAGAGACTTAGTCACAGGTTTACATTCAACCTAGAAACAAAAAAAAATACATTTTTCTTTGTAATATACACTAATCCAGCAAGCAGCAATGGTGCCCTGATTGATGATGAAACAGATAGGAGAGCAAAGAAAGCCAGGCTCTCTGTTTTTCAGTTTCCCCTCCCCTGTCACTGATTCAGTCCCTTCCCATCTCCTCTCCTCTATTTAATTAAAATACATTAGTGGCAATGCCTATTAACTAGCAGCTTTGCATTCTGCATCCGTTTCTCTCAGATTGGTCAGAGTCAATCTGACAGATGAAAAGAGGGTTTTGGCTTTTGCAGTCATTTAGCTGTGGCCTCTGAGTGTCTGCAGCGTGGCGCATAAGTAAGAGGAGCAGTTCTTGTAACGGAGGCTTGGGTGGAAAAGTCCGTAACTGCGTGCTCACCGCTCTCTGCGCTTCCCTCGTTCTGCTCTGCCCAGCTTTTAACCACATGGCCTTGGTCCGCTCTCAAACTGAATAACTAATGACTGTCCATCAGAGCAAACTTGCTGTAGGATCAGCTTTAGGATCAGAACTGTTTATAGTACTTTGCTTTACCCCTGGCAAGGAAACTTTTAAATAATGTTTTTTCCTCTGTTTGTTTTTGCAAATATAATTTGCAAACAATACAGATCACTGTACTCCAGGGGAAGGTAGTTACGGGAGAGGAATAGGGGATTTGTGTATTGTTTTAAGAGGGAAAAGGAGGTCATAAGCAGTATCGTGAGAAAAATAAACAACTGCAGATCTTTAGATCCTATTGGCAAAAATAAAACAAGGCCAGGAAACCAGTCCTGAGCTGAGGGCACAGGGCCATTGAGTAAATAAAACCATTTTTCCCCTGAAAACATTCAGAAACACTGAATAGCTGCTGATGTCCAAGTTAAAGTGATACAGATAGATAGAAACAAGCTCTGATTATTTTATTTTTCATGTAGAGCTGTCATGCGTCAAAGACCATTAGATACATCAGTAAAGTCTTGTGACGCTACTCTGGGCAAATGAGTATTATGTAACAGATGGGTAAAATGAAGCTTAAAGAAGTTGAAAACAAGTGACCTCACTGGAAATACAGCTCAGCAGTCTCCTGCTCAGATAAATGTCCTCAGCCTCTGTCTCCATTCTTCCCTTTGCAGCTGTGATGTGTTTTCAGCAGTCACCACAGGAACATTGCCCTGGGGGACGGGAGCATGACTGGGAGCGTCAGAGGTGGCATCGGCCGCTGTCCCCCTGTGCCAAGCCGGAGCACACAATGTCAAGCCTCCCGCTCCATTCCCCACCTGTGGGAATCGAAGGCCATGCAATTTCCACTGGAAATAACTAGAATTATAACTAGAATTACCAATTTGCAAGAAATGCTGAGAATCCCACTGAACTACATGTCACACTATAAAGATATCACTGCTGCATGCTTTAGCTGTTGTTAGGATTTTTTTTAGCCATGTCAAACACTACTAGCCATAAATATGTAGGGTGAAAATTTGAGCTAACTTCTACACACCAGAGATGATACATACCCAGATAGTGAAGGCAGCAACTGGTCAAGGATATATTTTACCACAGAATTTAGCTCAGAATGCTACAGGATTTTTAAAGGAAGCCAAATTCATTGGTCTTGCTGCAACTCTTTGAAAACTGATGTGCTAAGAAGCGATACAGAAAATAGAAACTCACAGAGAAACCCTCAAATGCATTTGAAACTGGAATTTTGAAATAGCTATCAACAAAGGCCATCTAGTTGAAAGACATTGTTTTACTTAGCATGAGTTAGGAATACAGCAGACAGTTTCAATGGCAGTAAGGTACATTTTCCACCCAACTTTAACACCAGTCTTCTTAATCTGAGAAATGATTTCAGTCATCTGACTCAGCATTAGAGGAACTATTTAGTTTTGTGCATAAGTCAGATGGAGGGCCAAAATCATTCTACAACCCACCGAAATTGCTGAAGTGACTCCAGGAATGAATTTAATCTTTTCTGTTTAAAATTTAAGATCTGTTATTTTTCTGATAGTTCAGGTAATTGCTACAGCTGGAACAAAAGCCTATCTCATTGTCTGTGGGCCCCAGTTTTTCCTGTCATTCTTTTTTCCTACAGTAGAGGCATAGCGAACCCCTCAGAGCACTCTGAAGGATTAATTCAGCGCTACACCCTTGTCCCACCAGAACTCCTGAGGGAATTCTTTGCAACCTGTGGTGTATCCAGCCCTTGTTTCCACGCAGGGAAGGTAGGGTAAAGACCTCAGACAGGGGCTGGCTTGAAAAAATCCTGCAGATTCCAAGGCAAAGCAGTGAAATTACCAGGCTTTTTGAAATCTCCCCTCTAAAGGCCTGCTTTGGGGGGCTTTGTTAAGAAAGCAATTATTTCCCAGGCCGAGTTTAGCACACCGCTGTGCACACAGTCGAACGGACCCCAGTGAGGAAAAGCAACTAAGGCAAAGGGCCACCTTCCAAATATGTCAAGGTGAAAGCCCTGCCCTGAAGAGCTTTGAAAGAAAGAGGCAAGAAAGGGGCTCAGAGAGATTATATTAGCCCTGTTTTACAGATGGAGACTTGAGACTCAGAGGTGAAATCCCTATGGGAGTAATTTCTGCAAGATCAAGAGTTCACCTAGCCCCAGGAGAAGCTTTGTGGACAGGGAGCTGTGGTAGGTGTATGAGCCAGACTCCTTGTTCAAGTCCCACTGTGCCACGTCTCCGTCACATGGCTACACCCATGTAACTCCAAAGCCTTTTTGTTCAGGAGAAAACTGATCATTTGTTCATGGAGATGACATGATTCTCAGTTTCCAGTCTTCTTAACTGCAATCGTTCCTTGAGAAGTTATTGTGAAAAAGCAGGATAAAGAGATGAGTTAACGCTGTGCCATGAACAAGTTGGCTTTCTTTGTGATTCTAATGCTTCATGAATACACACACTCACTGATGCAAACACTAGCAGATAATATTTTCTTCCAATATATGTAGGGCTATCTTGAATAAGGGAAGTCCATCACAGTTTTCCTTCTCCCTAAAAGTGTACACAAACACATGCACAAGATTGTATATGCATTTAGCTATGATATAGTACACTATAAACAAAATGTGTAAGTGAAGTTAGTATATCTATCTAAATTATTGCAAACTCAAGTGATACATGTCAGCAGTTCCCTGAATTCCAGCACCTCTGCAGCTGCATATATGCATCACATAAATTTTCAGACTTACTGTCTGTTACTGTTACAAATCATTTCAATGTGCAATCACTCCTTTAAACTGATTTTAGACAGATTAATCTTTTTTCTTCTTATTAAACACATCTTTCATGCAGAGTGTAAAACAATAACCCAGTTGTAATGCTTACTGGCATTGGCTCTTATCAAAGAGAAGGGTGGAGAAGTGCAATTAATAACAAGATAGGAAAGCCTGCTCCTTGGGTGGCAGCGCCTCTGAGGGTTTTCTACCTGACCGTTGCAGGACTAAAATCAAAGAATTGCAAAGCTGCTTGTTTCTTTATAGTCACTGCAGAGGTACCTCTCAATCAGTGCTAATTAATGACAACTTTAACTTTTTATTTAAAAAAATCCCAGTAGCATCTGGACTTCTTGGAGAGAAAAAAATCTGTGAGCTGTCTTCTGAAGCATGACAACCCATATTGTTATAACCAACACAAAACTGGGCTGACTTTCAATATTCATTTTTTTTTTCACTTTCACCCATTTTGCTTGTTTGCTTGCTAGTACATGTTGGAATATGTGAATTATGATGTTTTGAAGGGCAGGACTTTTGCAGTTGTTTCAGCTCTTAATGATTTATGGACCAACAATGGCCCTGGACGACATACCGAAAAGCACTATAGTTCAACCTATTATTTCTGAGCTCTGAAAATATTCCTTTTCTTGCCCTGAACGGGCGTGACTATGTGCTTCAAATAACAACAGTCATTTTTCCACTGAAAAGGTGGAATCTGACCTCGCATTGTATATTTTTTTAATTAAAAAGAAAGAAATTTGAGTGAACGGTGCATAGAACTTGAGAGTTATCAGACTGACTGAAATTCTTTAATCAGTGAAACAGCGTTTTTATATCACAAGCAATAGAACAATTTCCTAACACCAGTATGCTTCAATCTTTCAAACAGAAATTCCAAGCTAGATAATTGCCCAATGTCCATTCCCAGTCAAGTGTAGGTAATTTTTCTGAGACAGAAGGCAAAGTTGTCAGTTAAAAATTGTGATATTTATCCTGTGAAAACATGTCCTAGATCAATCATTTCATACAGGCATTCAGATGCTACCTGATATTTAAAAGCACAGCTTTTAAAATCCATACAAAGACCTTGCAAATATTTTTGCAAGTGCTCATCTTGCTAGAGCACACTCTGGAATGGACGTGCAGAAATATATCCACACTTTTGTGGATGAATCTGCAAATGAGGACCCAAAATATGCTGTGGGCTGAAGGAATATGAAAATAAAGATTCCACAAAATGTAAAATATTTGTCCTATTCAAATGAAAATTTCCTTTTTCTGAGCTCCAGCGTCCTGCGTGAAAAAGCAGCAGCCTTTTTTCTCCTCTGAGCAATGTTAATGGCCGTTTTAATGATTGTCTCCTCAAGTTTACAGCCAGCTGTCTAATTACTGAATGTCAATATTTATAAAAGCCCAGCATATACAGTGATAATGACACAATTCAACATTTACAGGGATCACATTTTTCATAAGTATCAGCACTGAGTAATCATCATAACTACTGTCTTGATACTTCTGCTAATTTCAGATTATAATGAACAAGATTTCCTTGAAACATCTAAACTACAGACTAGTCACCCCTTACCCTTTTGGTGACTTCAGACCAAGAGTATAGTAGCAGTAAGAAAGAACTGTGATTTCTTGTTCC